TTTATTTATTTATTTATTTATTTATTTATTTATTTATTTATTTATTTATTTATTTATTTATTTATTTATTTATTTATTTAATTGGCTTTCTACCCCGCCCATCTAGACCAAAGGTGTTTTTCTGTGTATAAGATGATACTTTTGTCTAAAATCTTTAGACTAAAAATTGAGGGCCGAGGGCCATCTTGTACACAGAAGTAAGCTGAAGAGAGAACAAAATGGCCCATATCTTGCCTTTGCAAACAGGCTGCCTCTAATCACGAGGCTTAACTTAATTCCTCCAATCACGAGCCTTACGTAACTCATGTCAGCTGATGCTGAACAAACCAATTGGAACACACCTCATTGGAGGTGGAGCCTGTAGGCAGTACTCAGATTCAACAGGGACTCGTGATGTCTGATCGTTCTGAGCCCAGAGGCTGAATACTCAAAGCTAAGTTAAGGTTTCTTAATTTGGGGTTAGAAAAGTTGGGGGGGGGGGAAATCTTATACATGGGAGGGTCTTATACATGGAAAAAATACAGTATGTTCCAGCATAATGTAGAGCTAGGGTAATGTGACATGAGCATTCCAGGCATTAAGCCCAGGCAACCACAGTTGTGCAATTAGATTGCAAAAATGACTGTGTAGCTTCCATAGCTACAATTGTATAGCACACACACACACAGAACAGCTTTGTGAACAGCACGTGAACCGGCAATGCTTTTCACTAACACTGCCATAAGTTTTTATTATGCACATGAAGCTGCACAACAGGATTTCAGCCTATGTGTAACTGGACGTTCACAGCCAGTTAAGCCCATGTATACATGTACTAGCAGTTTAACAATTTTAGAAAAATAAGATAGTCCTGCTTTTGAGAATTTCACTAGATACTACCCACATTTTCCTCCATAGATTCCAATAGATGTGCCTTAAAGAGCCTTCTTTTGGGTCCATTGTTGTTGGAGACAAGGCAAAAGTTTTAAAAGCAGGACCTTTTCTATAGTGGCACCATGTTACCAAACAGTAAATCCAATCAGTAAAACTCAGAATAAAAAAAAGAAACTTGGCCATATCAAATACAGTGGTGCCTCGCTTAACGGGTGCCCCGTTTAATGACGAATCCGCATAGTGATTAAGTTTTTGCGATCGCTTTTGCGATCGCATTGTGATGATTTAGATAGGAAAAAATCGCTTTGTGATGATCGGTAAGCTGTTTTGCTTACAGATTTTTGCATAGCGATGTTTTCCTAACAGCTGATCAGCAGTTCCAAAATGTCCGCCGGGTAAAAAAAAAAAGGCCGCCCACTGTGTTTTTGCGCCGATTCCTCGCTTACCGGGCAGCGAAAATGGCAGCCGTATGGAGGATTTTCGCATAACGGTGAGTCTTTTTCCCATAGGAACTCATTATACAGGTTTTAATGCATTCCTATGGGCTTTTTTATTTCGCATAGTGACGAATCTACACAGCGACGATTTTTCCGGAACGGATTATCGTCACTATGTGGGGCACCACTGTATCCTGAAAAGTCTGGGAATAGTAGATTTTACACTTGGCATTCTGCTTTTGGTTTAACTTCATGCCAGATGCTGGAAAACCCTTTCTTTCACCAGATTTTTTAGGGTCTTCCTCATTAACATTTGTTTGGCTACATGCTATTTTCTTTATTCTGGTAAATTTTAATTTGTCACAGATCTTCTGCACCACTTTACATGACATCATCATATGATGAACAAGGTATTTAATTTAAATTAAGTGAACCTTCATATCCCCCCATTTCATGTTCCCCTTTGCCCTGGTGAAGCCTTTAGGAGCCTCAGGATGGGGGAGAATTTTAATGCCAGATGTGGACAACATAGGAGAAGATGGGATGTAACCAGCAGAGAAGTCTTGGCTATTAAGGGTTCCTGTCCACCCCAAAAATTCCAGAGGCTTCCCAAGACAAAAGGAAGCCCCGGAGAGCTTCATGACCTGAAAGTGGGAAGAACAGGAAGCTTTCAATTAATTTGAATTAAATATCCTGGTCACCAGATGATGACAATGTAAACTGGTTTACACTGTGTATGTTACACCAACTGGATTCCAGGATGCTTTACGTAATTGGAAGCTAGCCTGAAAATTATTTTTTTTATTGCAATGTCATCAAAAAGAGCTACATTAGTAAGCAAGTAAGCAAGTAAGCAACTAAGTAAGTAAGTAAGTAAGTAAGTAAGTAAGTAAGTAACTAAGTAAATAAATAAATAAATAAATAAATAAATAAATAAAAGGGGCTTGAAGGTTTCTTCCTTTTCTTAAAAAAAGAAGGCTGGCTCCTGATTTTCAAGCTGGATAGCTCAGTGGCTTAGGTCTTTGGCTGCGAAACCAGGGATTGAGAATTGGATACCCCACTCTGCCTCCTTGATAGAAGCTGGACACAGTGATCTATAGGGTCCCTTCCAGTTCTGCAGTTCTAAGAGTGTTGTTGTTGTTGTTGTTGTTGTTAAGTTTTACAAAGTACAGTCCCATCACACGAGACTGCAGTCTGTTCACAGAGCTCCCTCTTCCCTGATCATTCTTTCCTCTATGATCTATTGACAGGTCTAGAAGTCGTAGAGGCGGTACTCAACTGTCTGGAAGGGTGAACCACTCGACCACATTCCCAAACGGCCCATCGATGCCAATACCATTTGACTGCACGGCAAACTCGTATCTGGTGAATGGCTTCAGCCCGCTGATGAGGATATCTTCATCAGAGCTGAGGAAGAAAAGAACACCCAATATTATGACAGACTCTGCCACCGATGTGACCCAGAAAAAGACTGGCAAGCGTTCGGCGGCCAGCAAAACAGCTAAGTTGGCGGATCTTAGAATGTGATAACGTGTGGCTTTGGATTTTGGATCCATGCCTCTTTGCCACATTCCTAAAAGCCAAAGGTGGTATGAAACAAATCTTTCTAGAGCAGTCTGGTTGACATGTGTAGGAGGTCAGGAACAGCCACATTCTGCAAGCCTGGAGGTCATTTTTCTATATCCAGAACTCTCTGCAGATTTTAATGCTTCCTTGAGATGAAACACCGAGTGAGTAAAAAAAAAAAGCATTCCATTTTCAAAAAAGCCATTTTTAGTTTATAAAACAGTTGGATTTTTATTTGGTTATGATAAGGTTCTGAGGACATCTTGTTTAATAAGAGAACTGCACCCTCTAGAGATGAGACTCTCCCACCTAGGTAAAAAAAAATCCAAGCCTCTACTTTTGGAAAGGGTCTTCTGGACTCTGGAGGGCTCAGGGAGACAGAAACTGGCCATTGGTGATGACAGGATTCGTACTCGTGCCACAAGTGACTGGGCATGCCACTCCCATAATGCAAAAGGGTAAAAATGGTGCATATTCCACACTGACTACTATTGAAGGCACCGTCAAGGTAACTTAGAGAATGTTAGAAAGTAACACCAGGAAATGGAGGGAATGAGAGAGCTCTGTCATTAGGGACAGAAAGACATTTACTCAATTTGCATTTTAATCTGCATTCCCCCAAACCAACAGGTAAACTGAAACACTGCTCCCATTTTGCAATGCAGTCTTCCAACTAATCTACAAAAATGCCTAAAATGAGTAGATATTCCTTGCAAATAATATGCATAACAAGCAAAAATGCATCAAAATATGCATTCTGGGGAAAATGTAAACAGCACAGATTACAAAAATGGCAGAAGCAGCAAGATAAAACCAAACTAAAACAAGAGAAGTGAGAAAATAAAAAACACTATTTAGCTAGATTTGGCCATCCCTAGCTGTGCAAAACAAGGAGTCTGTCAAAAGGAAGCAGAGGAAGACAAATCCATCATTTTGGTTTCTACCAGTTTCTCATTTTTTCCTGTTTTAAATCAGATTGTCCTGAACTAGAAGAGAGCATTTTTGAAAAGCTTCCATTTATTGGAAAAAAAAATTCTGAATACATGCTATTTTTTTCCAAGTAAATTTCCTAACACATTGCACTTTTAAAAGTATTTTCACCAATCCAATTGTTAGTTCCAACAACAGAAAAAAGTTTTCTGAATACATGCGTTTTTATATGCACCTTTACCCCAACATACTATTTTTTTCCAAGTAAATTTCCTAACACATTGCACTTTTAAAAGTATTTTCACCAACACAGGCCTAAATCCAATTGTTAGTTCCAACAACAACAGAGTTATTGAATCAAAACCTACATAAATATTGTTTTAATAAGTGCTGATCATTCAGTGATCATCAGGATCATCTTCTGGATATAACCCATATGTTTTTACCAAGGTTTCCCCTAAGGTGCGTGCATGCGCACATGATTCTGTCCCCTTTGCGCAGCCTTCCTCCTCTATGCACCAACAGCTCTTGTTTCCAGGCCCTTGGGTTCCACTCGTGACAGAGCTCCGTGCGGGCAGGGGAACTGCGCACATGGGCAGGCAAAATCACATGCATGAGGGGTACAGCCTCACCCAGTGTAGCTGAAAATTAGAGGGAATGTTGCTTTTTATGAATGCAATTTCCTCCAAAACATGCACCTCTGTACAGTACTTATATCTGAACGGGAGAATTTCACTACACCTTGGGTTCCACTCGTGACAGAGCTCCGTGCGGGCAGGGGAACTGCGCACATGGGCAGGCAAAATCACATGCATGAGGGGTACAGCCTCACCCAGTGTAGCTGAAAATTAGAGGGAATGTTGCTTTTTATGAATGCAATTTCCTCCAAAACATGCACCTCTGTACAGTACTTATATCTGAACGGGAGAATTTCACTACAAAATTCAGAGTAATTTCCTCCAAAACATGCACCTCTATAGTTATATCTGAACGGGAGAATTTCACTACAAAATTCAGAGGAATGTGAATCTCAAAAGGTATCTTGAGTTCACATCTTGGCCTGAAAAGTACAAAATAACATACACTGAAATGAAGAGAAAACAAATTTTCTCCACATCCCCAGGATGAACAGGTGCACATTCCATATCACAACTGCAGGGAGCAATTTTGAGGATTCAATGAAGTCACTGACTTTTTGTGCATGTGGAAGAACTCTTTCATAATGTGGAGACAACAAAACAGGGCAGAGTTACTTAAGGAGGTGTGGGGAAATCCCCAGGGAACCCTGCTTGGAAGCCAGTCCAAGCAGCAGTTGCATGAAAACCAGGGAGAGATCTCTGATAAATGAAGACAGACTATAGTCTTTAGTTATGATGCATGTCACCGGTGAAGAAGATGTCTGCCTGTAAAATGTCTCCAAAATGTCTCTAAAATGTCTACCTTCTTCTCCGGAGGCATGACTTTTTTTATTAAGTACCATCATTTACATAAAGAGAAGATTTAGCCAAAGAGGGTCGAGAAACTTATCTTTTCTACACATTCCACATATCCGCAGAGAGAGAATCATAGAACAATGCAGGAGGCAGAAGAAATTTGTTTTTCTGACACCGATGACTGTGGTCTAGAGAAGACAAGGGGCGGCAACATATAACCCCCTGAATCCCTACCCCACAGAACTCTGCATTAATATATTTTAAAATGGGAAAATGGGATTATAAAAGTTCCAGTGTGTTCTCTAAGAAGCATGAGGCAATTTTGAGGGTCTCCAGCACTACTTGCCCCCCCTTTTACCCCCATGACCTATGAAAGGTTTACTTGCAGAGCACCTAACCATTTATGTTAAAATTGCTGCATCGGTCAGGTATCATTTAAAATATGAGCCAGTGCATTTCCTCTTGTGACCAAAACAGTTTACTGCAGATCTGTTATGGCCTTGGTAGCCATTTAAAATATGAGCCGGTGCATTTCCTCTTGTGACCAAAACAGTTTAGGAAGCTTCCGTTCTCCAGCCTCCATGATCTGCAATTCAACTGATGGTAATTCTAACCAATCTGCAGAGCTGCTGTAAGGTTCACCACAAAAGTGTACCTGAAATGAAGTCTGAACCCTCAAAAGCTTGATAGAAAGCTAACCTCACGCTTTTTATCTCCATTTCCTCCTGGGCCCACCACAGAACCTGAATCGATTCCGGAAGGAGAGGGTCCTTTTCTCCAAACTCTTAAGCTCTTCCCCTTAAAAAAAAGAGTCTCTTCTCAACCTCAGATTAAGTCACTCTGCAATTTCGCAGCCAACCATGGTTGCCTCACCTTGTGTAGTAAGTCACGAGCGAGGCATTTTTCAGTCCCCAGGGACTGAATCGCACGGTGTAATTGACGATCTTCACGGTACTAAAGTCAGGCTTCTTCCATCGCAGCCAGATTGAGGTGGAACTGTTGGATTCTACGTAGATGTGATCTGGGGGCAGTGGAGGCCCCTTCTGAACGGGGGGCTCTGGGGAGAGAAAAAAAAAAACAGGCAGCAGCGGGAACAGATTCAGGAGCATGAGGAGAAACGGTAGCAGCAATTAGAAGTGAACACACCAGACCTGAAACACCCTCCTCCTTTAACAAGGGGGCATCCACTGAAAATTTCAACCAGATCTGCTTCCTACGCCCTCCTGAGGGGTCTGTAAGCTTTAAGAAAGCTGTCCACTCCCTTATCTCCTTGGGTTTCTGTCCCCCCCCCCCAGCTGACACTCAGTTTAAGAAGGCTGTCCAGTCCCTTATCTCAGTGGGTTTCTGTCCCCCCCCCCAGCTGACACTCAGTGGAGTCCTGCAGATCACTGAGCATGCTAAATATTCTTTGGACTATTCAGTGGAGGAATTTCAGTGCTCATGGCTCTCAGAGATCACAAAGATGCTCAACATTAATTGGGTTACTGGTGGGGGGAGGGAAAGAATTTTTATCCTTTTATGCTTGTGAATACTCAGGCCAGAATCTCTTGAGTTATGCAGATGCCAGAGAGCAACCATAAAAGCAGTTCTGATTATTTTCTTGGCTGTCCCCTGTGTGTATTCACCCTTGCCCTGGTTGCACAACTGAGTGCAAAACCATGCAATGGGAAGCAAGCCTCTGAAAACCATTTGCACAGCAACCCTTCTGGGTGCTGTAAAACCTCACTGGACTTTGGCCTCAGGGGTCACCCAAGCGCATAGGACCACCTCGCCCTCATTTCTCAGGGACCCTGTTTTAACCCCAATCATTCACCTGAATTTCCTAGTACATAGAATCACACAACCACCGTTGGGGGAAATTGCACAATCTGTTTGGAAGTTTGGCCCATCTGATAGTAAGTCATTAATTCCATTAAGTCATTAATTCATGTTCTCTATGATGGACCTATTTTCCTGCCTACAACGGGGCTTCTTCAATTATAAAGGTAAAGGTTCCCCTTGACAAACTTCCTCAATTATATTGATTTATTTAAAATATTTTAAGCCACGTTTCTCCTGAAAAAGGACCCAAGGTGGCTTGCAATAACTAAAAGACAGTATTTAAGCTAATAAAAGGGAGTACACAATACTAAAAGGATCAATGAATACAATACCAAAAAACATAAGCAACACCAAAACATATTCAATGCAGTAAGGCACAACCATCCATTTAAAAAAAGGAAAAGCTTGCCTAAAGAGAAAGGTCTTCAACAGCTTGAGGTAGGACAGTAAAGATGGGGCCGGTCTAGCCTCCTGTGCTCTGGGAGCAACAACAGAGAAGCCCCTCTCTTATGTACCCACCAAACACACCTGTGAAGGTAGCGAGGTTGAGAGGAAGGTCTCTCCCGAAAGGTCTTTGCCTCCTTGTGGAAGGACAGTAAAGATGGGGCCAGTCTAGCCTCCTGTGGGTGGGGTGTCAAGAGACTCGGAGAGAGACAGGAGCTTTAATTTCATTTTGATTCCAGCTTCTTAAGGCCGTTCTGCTCTGGTGGCCCAGAGGCATGGTCAAGAGCAAAAGCTACCTTGAAGTTTGCTCCTCTTTCTCTCTCTTTGATTGTCTAGATGCCTGAGCACTAAATCTGCAAGCCTTTAAAAAATAGGAAGGAAGGAA